CCTGTTTGACAGAATTAAAAGGAGACATTGACAAATCCATAATAATATTGTTAGGTTCAGATACAATTCTTTTAATGGCAGAGGTAATAAGCATGAAAAAACTTAGTAAAGATATAGAAAGTTTGAACAACACAGTTAACACTCTTAACTGACATTTAGGACACTGCTCAAAGCAGCTGCAAAATGTACATTCTTTTAAGTGCATGTAGAATAGTTAGTAAACCTAAACATATATTAGGCCTTAAAGCAAACTTTAATTGAATTGAAAAGTTTGGAAACATAGAATATGGAGCTGGCCCTCTGTATTCATTGGTTGTGTATTTGTGGATTCAATCAACAGCAGATCAAAAATATTTTAAAAACTGAATCAGTGTGGAATACATACATCATATTTTTACATGTCATTGTTCCCTAAACAATACAATATAACAACTATTTACATAGAATTTACAATATATTAGGTATTATGAGTAATCTAGTGATGATTCGAAGTATTACTACATGGGAGGATGTATACGGATTATATGCAGTAACAGGGACTTGAGCATTCTTGGATTTTAGTGTCTGGGCAGTCCTGGAACCAATTCCCCATGGATATCAAGGGATCATTGGATTCTATGAGTAGAGCTTATTTAATATTAAAATCCATAACAAAAATATCATAAAATCTCCAGTTGTTTAGAAATTAAGAATTTCCTTTCATAATCTACAAGTAAATACTTACAGTGGAAATTAGAAAATAATTTTAACTTAATGATACTAAAGATATATTAAAACTTGTGGGTTGCAGCTAAAGCTGTGCTGTGAGGGGAACTTTTAGTCTTGAATACATATATTAGAAAAGAAGAAAGGTTGTGAATCAATGATCTAAGCACCTATTTCAAGAAAGTAAGAAAAGATTAGCAAGTAAAGCAAAAAGAAATAATAAGGAAAGAATAAAGGTGACAGAACAGAAAACAAATGTACAAATAGAGAAAACAAAGAAGCAAAAAATTGGGTATTTGAAAGACTAATAAAATTGATAAAATCCTAGCATTACTGATTGAGAGAGAGAGAATAAACACAAGCTATCAATATGACTGCAGATATCACTCCAGATTCCTCAGATATTAAAAAGATAAAAACACATTAAGAAATAGATTTAAACTAATGAATTTGAAGACTCAGATAAAATAGACAAATCTTTTTGAGAAATACAACTTAATAAACCTGGCATAAGAAGAAATAGAAAAGCTAAGCAGTCCTATTATATTAAGCTATTAAATCTACAATAAACACATTTTCACAAAGAAACGCCAGGGCAAGATGACTTTGCCAGCAAATTCTTTCAAACATTTACATAATAAATAAGACCAATTTTACATTAAATCCTTAGAAAATAAACAAGAGAAAAACTTTCCCAACTGGTTTTTACTACAACAGCAGTAATTCCAGCAAGTGTTTAAAATAACAGTATGTCTTTGTGAGACAGGAATTGCTTAAAAGGCTCAATGGCATCAACAGAGTCAAATACTGTGAAATTAATTTAAGGACTCTAAAACATTATTGAGAGAAATTAAAGAATTAATCAAATGGGTGGATATGTTATGGTCAAGAATTGGAAGATTCAATGTTACTAATTGTCAACTTTCTCCAACTTGATTTATAGACTTAATGTAATCCCATCCAAAATGCTAGTAGGTTTTTATTTTTTTTTTTTATAGAAATTAACAAGCTGATTCTAAAATAAAAATGCAAGGATGCAGAAATGCTAAAAAAAAAAATTCAAGGAGGAAAATGGAGATACATATATTGCTAGATAGCAAGACTTAATTACCGTAGCTTTATAATAAGACAGCGTCATACTGTTGTAAAGATTGACTGTTAAACCAATGGAATAGAATAGTTTAGAAAGAACATGTCTCTTGATCATATGTGGTCTCTTGATTTGTGACACTGGTGACACAGCAGAGCGTGGAGAAAGAATGTCATTCCTGTAATGGTGCTGAGTCAAATGAATAACATCTTGGTCCCCATTTATTATCATAAATCAGTCTCAACAGGGACAATTTTGGCCCCACTGCTCCATGGACCTACAGCGATGTCTGGAGACATTATGGATTTCCATGACTGAGGGTAGGGGTGCTACTGGCATCTGGTGGGTACAGGTTAATGATACTGCTAAACCCCCTACAACACACAGGGCAGTCTCCACACTACAATTATCCTGTCCAAAATATCAATAGTGCTAAAATTGAGAAACCTGCTGAAACCAAAAATCAATCTTAGGAAGATTGTAGGCTTAAATATCAAAGATGATATTAAAGTTCCTGGAAGATAATAAAAGAGAATATATTCATGACTTTGGGGTTGGTGAAGATTTCTTAACCATAACACAAAAAAAGCAGTAAGCATAAAAAAGATTAATAAATAGGAATACAATTTGTTTATCAAAACACATTGCCAATACAGTAAAATGTTAACCCATAAAGAAGATATTTGAGATATATATATATATATATATCCCAAAATCTACGTGTATCCAGAATATATAAATAAGGTCTACAAATTACTAAGAAAAAAAGACAACCCAAATAGAAAAATGGGGAAAGGGATCCATTTTGACAATAAATACATGAGAAAGTGCTCAACATCATTAATTATTAAAGAAATGAAAATTAAAAACTATGAAATAGGCTGGGTGTGGTAGTTGATGAATGTAATCCTAGCACTCTGGGATGCCAAGGCAGGAGGACTGTTGGAGCTCAGGAGTCTGAGACCAGCCTGAGCAAAAGCAAAAGCAAGACCCTGTTTCTACTAAAAATAGAAAAAATTAACTGGGCAACTAAAAATAGAAAAAATTAGCCAGGCATGGTGGTGCATGCCTATAGCCCCAGCTACTCGGGAGGCTGATTTAGGAGGATTGCTTGAGCCCAAGAGTTTGAGGTTGCTGTGAGCTAGGCTGACTCCACAGCACTCTAGCCTGGGCAACAGAGTGAGACTCTGTCTCAAAGAAAAACAGAAAAAGAAAAAAAGAAAAACTATGAAGTTACACTACACACTTATCAGAAAGACTACAATTAAAAGACCGGGAAACCCTATGTTAATCAAACTGTGGAGCAACTGGAATTTTCACACACAATTGATGGAATTGTAAATTGGGACAATTTCTTTGGAAAATCATTTTTATTTACTAAAACTGGACATATACATTCCTCTATGACTTAGCAATACCAATCCAACAGAAATGAATGCATATTTGTACCCCAAAATGCATACATATCTGCACCAAAGGATATATATATATATCTTTCATCCTGTACATTTATATATTATATATGATATATGCACTGGTAGGAAGGGAAAGTCACATTTCCATATTTCAGGACCACAACATGGCATCTGCCAGTTGTTACAGAGTGCCTGACAATACGAGATTTCCAATATATACCGTTTTTGCTAACCAGTTGTATTAATAGTATCTTTCATCAATGCACATCTATGCGACCTCCACAAAGTAAATTGGCTGTTAAATCTGCACCCTGTAAATTGATAATTATGATTGCATTTGATTTCCTTCTTTTACACAATAGTCACATTATTTCAAGGTATGTTCATACATGTTTCAAATTCACTGAGAGACACTATTATTTAAGAGAATCCACTATTTCAAAATTAACAAAACTACTAACCAATCTATATCGCACTCAAACTAAATTCCTCTGATTTTCCTAAACTTCTGGACAGCACAAGTCAGTGTCATGATGGTCTGTTTCAGTTATCCAGGGGTTCAAATTCAGTTTTCAAAATTATTCTGCAAAGTAAAATAATTTCACTTTAAAATTTGACTTCTAGAAGAAGTGAGATCTTTTGGGACACACAGCATATTAGCAAAAGTGACTACAGTCATCCCTAAGTATAATATTTGTGAGAAATATTTTCCAGAAACCCCACCAATACCAAAACCCAAGGATGCTCCAGTCCCTGATATAGAATGGTGTAGTATTTGTATATCACCTACGCACATCCTCCTACGGGCTTAAATCATCCGTAGATTTCTTATTATACCTAATACAATGTAAATGCTACATAAATTGTTGTTAAACTGTATTTTTACTTGTATTACTTTTATTGTTGTGTTATTGTTTTTTTTTCTGAATATTTTTGATCCTCAATTGGTCGAATCTGAGTATTCATAAACCGTGGAGACTGAGGGCTGACTATGCAAGAAAAATGGGAAGAGAGAAGAGGGGAGGAACCTTTTGTACCCTAAAAGAGCGTTTTGAGAAACTCCTGTCTTGCAGTGACATACTGTTGTTTTAAACAAGTCCTGCTGGAATTATTGCTGCTGCGGTGCATATGGCAGAGAAGGACTGTCCCCGAGGATGAAATAGTGCTCTCATTCTGCACTGCAGATGAAGCTGTGAATGTGTGGGGAAACCGGACAGAGAAAATTAGGAGGGACAAAGGACAGAGGAATAAGGAGAAATGAACATTTAATATTTTTATAAATTCTCTATGTCTTGATCACCATGCTTTAATTGCAGAAGAACTCCAAAAAGATAATATTTAATTATATGGACTTAATGTGCTGAACACATAGAAGAAGAATGAAGTGCATCAAAGAACTTGGAAATAAGGGAAACCAGGTTACTCTGTACGAGTCACACTAGAACATTGGTGCACACGGAATGAAGCGGTCTGTGGTCACCTGAAAGAGACTTTTTTGGCATGTGAGGTGGCTTCCGGGGACTCTGCTTAATATGTACCGCAGTGCACGTCTGATTCTTCTGCACTGGCCTCCTCATTTGCTGCCATGATGTTTCCTCATTTTTGGCCATCCCTTATGGGACAGTGGGCCCACTAATGACTGACAACGAATGGCAGCTACACCCACCATCCCAAGCCCGTCCGCAGGGGAGGAGCATTGTTTGTCAGTATCGTTTTTTGCACCGGTCCTGCCCCAATTCCCCACAATGCAGCATTTACAACATCATGTCATACATTTAATGAGGCTTTATTTAAGGTTTGGATATAAAGGTATAAAGAAATGAGCGTAAAATATGGGGGATGAATTGATCACTGGTTCCTAAGCCGAGACTCAATCTCAAGTAAACTTCAGGTGTGGTCCTTCTTCCTCAGCCAGGCTACTGCCAGGTGACCCCAGGGCAGGTCTTGTTCATCCACTTCCACATCCAGACTTGCTCATGCATCTGACTCCAGGGAAAATTGTCTTTGGCTCCATAGAGAAATTGCTGCTGTTTTTCCCCAGTCTGTAGAAGGTTCGCTCTATAAAGTAACGTGTCTGTCTTGATCCCATTGGCATCTCTAGCACCTAGCAGAGGGCCTACGACATAGCGTGTTATAGATTATTCATTCAATAAATATTGGGTGAATAAAAAAAAAAACCAAGAATAGTCATTTAGCCATTGTTTATGCTTCTCTGGAGACTTGACAAATATATTTGTATTATTCAAATTAATTAGCACTTCTGATACTCCAGTGGAAGAAAGCAGGGCCCCCTGAAATTATCTGAGGATGGACTTTCTGATTGATATACTTTTAGGCTAGATGACAACTGCCATTTCTTTGTTCTCTTTTGGTTTAGGAGTTTGATAACACATTCCTCAAGTTTTCTGAATCCCTTCCCTTAGCAAGTAATGAAGTGAATTTTGATTACATGGCACCATGTACTGATTTTAAGATGGTTTTGTAAATTGTTACTCTCAGAGCAGTAGTTTTAGGTAGTGCTCCGAAGGAAGCCTTGTTTGAATGAAGTTCCCAGAACAACGGGGCCAGCATCACTTGAGAACTTGTTTGAAATGCAGAATCTCAGGCCCTACCTGGATCTTCTGGATCAGAATTTGCATTTTGATAAGATGTCCGGGACATTTGCACTCCAAGGGGTCTTGTTGCTTGTCCTGAGTGTAGCCCACATTCACCCAGGAAGAAAAATGTCCCCATGCTTCTCTGGTTCTCCTTCTGTTTCTTTTCTATTTAGGCACCACATCTCTCTTGATCTGAGTGAGGAGAAAAGGACAGGTTATGGTGAAACATTTGCCTCTTGCCTGGCTCTATAGGAAAAACATCTGGATAATATTTCTGCAGCACCCGCTAGTACCTCTAAAGAGACTGGAGTTTATCCTCAATCTAGCCACTTCATGGACACCCTGTGCCTAGGCAGGTAACTGCTATTAAATCTACCTCTTCTTGAACTTTTTCAGGCCTTTAGAAAATTACAGCTTTAAAATCACTCATCTAAGATAAATGTAGGTTCTTGCTCCTAAACAGCATAATTGCTGTAACCCATGCAAATCTATTAATAATTAAGAAGATGGCTCCATTTTTTATTGTAGAATGACTTTAAATTTAGGGCCACTTCTGACCCTCTATTCAGACCCTGAGTACAACATGCTTTTTATTAGGGTTGTCACCCAATCCCCATGAAGTAAGTGTTAGAGATTATATACTCAGGATAGTTTAAATTCCTGGACCATCTTTAACCTTGACAAAAATTATGAATGGGTTTTCTTCTTGGCAATAATCTTTGTGCTCATGTGAACCCTCTGTAATAGTTGTACATACATTTATATATAATACTATACGTATTTTTCATGTCTATTAATATATTATTTCCATCAGTAAATTTTCTGTTTAATTCCATTTACCCACCAATTCTCAGTGCTATTATTTGGTATTACATTTTTATATTTTCTGATCATTTACACTTTTGCTTTCTGTACTTATCTCAGACACTCCAGATTCATTCTTGTGGCTGATTTGAACCTTAATTTCTTTGCTCTCCTTTTCTGTATTAGAATAAGTAAAAGAACCTAGAGCTCTCCTTGAAATGCCAGCTGCAACTTTGGCTGCAGTGTCCCCTGGGGTTATACCAATCTCCCTCTATCTAAGGTGAACTCTTCTTTCTACCATCTTTTATAACAATGTTTCCAGATCCAACACATGTGTTGATACCATTTCTCCTGCTGCTCTCTGTTAAATGGTCCTTTCCAGAAATTCCTATCTCTAAGAGCAACTTCATTCCAAAGTAGATTTTCCAGATAACACTCCCAGCTTCCAGAACTTCATTGTTTCTAGAATAGGCTGAGCAGTCTCTCCCACTGGCTGGCCTAGTAACTGGCCCATGTTTCTAAAAGTTACCCAGGCTGGTGTCTAACCTGCCTTGACACCCAGCACTGTAACACTCCTAGCAATATCATTTCCTCTGTTTTTTTTCCTCTTTGAATGTTTTAGAAACTCAGTTTCTAAAACTGAAAGTTTGAAAGATTGAGCATTAAACAATCACCATCCACATAGCTCCCTTTCCTGATACTTGCTGAAAGATTGCAGAATAGCATCTTCAGTGCACTCTGATGCTGTTTCCTCAGACAGGTCCACACTGGTCCAGATTGTTTCTAGTCATGTTTATTTTATTTTATTTTTTTTTTGCTTTTAAAGGGCTTTCATTTCTGTAATATTTTTAACTTTTTCACTTCTATTTCTTTCTTATTATTCTGCTAGCCAAGTTTACTTGATAGCTTTTGAGTTCTTTTTTGAAGGAAATGTAATATTATCTCTAATTTTATTTAGATTACTATATTTTAGCTCTTCCTCTTCCTTGATTAATTTAGGTTTCTGTGTATGATTATTCTTTGTGTGTCCTTTACTTAGATTCTGTTTCTTCTTCTTCTTTTCAGTTTCTCTACATGTGTTTCATACTATTTCTTTTCTGATAATTAGCTTATATTTGAATGGGACCTGATGTTTGCTACAAAATACTCCAAGGAATACAGAGGTTAGCGGGTGTGACAAAGGCAGAGGAAGGCAGGGAGGCATGAGGTGGGATAATTCACAACTTTGGTCTGGATTTCCTTCCACAAATAACCTTTCACTGAACCGGTTACATCCTTTTGCAGGTAGCATGTCCCTCATGATTTTTAGCATTCATGATATGGGCTCATCATGTTTCACCTCTTACTCTTCCTCTGGATAGGCATCCAGGAAGTAGACAATAAAAATGATGGGTAAGCTAATTCTTCCTAGAGTATGATGTCCCTTTATATCTATATCTATGGGGTAGACCTTAGTTCTCCTAGATCGTATGTCTCTATTAAAATACCCACTAGATTAGCATTTGGAAATGTGATTATTCTTAATTTAATTAATCCATTGCTTTATACAACGCTCTGTATTTTGACACAGTATTTGGCAGGGACATTTTGTAGTTTGGGCTTTGGCACTGTTACTATTTCCTTGTTTCAATTAAGATTAATTTCCCCCTTTATATTATTTAATAGTTTTGGGTATGTGCCTTTTTTTCTGGCATCTTCCCCATATCCCCAGACTATACTGTTTATTATGAGGCTTCATCGAAGTCATAGAGAAAATCTAATAGAAGATCAACATGGAGCATAGGACAGACCTCCTAAATGTAGATCAACTGTATTGTCTTGTGGCCGGCTGCCCTATGCCTCCCTCTCGGCCTATCTTTGGGACAGCATGTTCTATCTACTCTGTCACCACCACCCCAAGAATTGTTCCAAACCTCCCCAGACTTGGTGATTGTGGTCCAGGTAACTCTGCTTCTTAGAGTTGTTCTCCAGCCTTCCTAAGTGCCAATTCCTCTGGCAGCATATTGGACTCCTCTTCCGAAGAATAATGAAAGTGATATCCATCCCCTTCAGACAGAAGCCTTACTCAGACAAATAGGTTTGTGGTTTAGCCTGACAGTCCAATAAGACAAACATAAAATAGTGTGGTGATGATATATTTACAAATTTCTTGGCCATTCATTTGCTTCCAAATTTTCTTATTACATAAAGAAGAAAAGTGGCAAACAGAAGAAATGACTTTGTAGCCGTGGAAGCAGAAAGACAGGGTAGTTGGAAGGACAACTTTCATGAGAACACTGTAAGCCCTCCCCAGGGAGGTGTGCTCTTCAGTACATAGCTATTTTGTCTCTTCATTGAGTAGGTGGCTATGCACCCTATCAGAATAAATGCTATTTGACATCTGAATCACATAACCCTATTATTCTAATTTCAGTCCCACTCTTTCATAATTTGATTTCCTATATAGTTTGTCTACAGTGAAAATATATGCTCGTTTATTCTGTTGACATTAAAGTTTTCCTTGGAAGGTAACCTTCTTCTTATAAATTCATTTAAAAATTCTGATTTGACCATTGAGTAAGCTTTAATAGCATGGTTTAATATTTTAACTTAGTCTCCAGAACAAAGATGAGGTGGAATCTTGAAGCATGCAAGGCTGATGGCAGCCCCAGACAGTGGTCAATACACCAAGCAAACATACCTGAAAGGAGTCTGTCTTAGAGGCAAGATATACTTCCCTGGAGTGGCTGCTTCGGCAGGACAGAGGCCAGTTGCATTTGGACCCCCACAATGGGTACATTGATTACCTAGAGGAAAAACTGATATGACATCCAACCATTGGTGGAGTTAGAGTGGCTTAATGAATCTATTGTTACAACTCAGCCTTACAAACAAACCCAAGAAGCTTGCAAGCCTAAAATAATTTTAACCATTATATCATCCCTTGAAGAGGTCAAAGCCTAAAAAAATTGATCTGAATTGCTATTTTATTCACCAAGCAGAAATAATTTCTCATCCTGGGAAGATAAATAAGTGCTTATATGCCAGATTAGTTTTACGTATTTAGATGAGTGTCAAATATAAGATTCCCTGGGATATTTTAAATGTAAGCAAAAACCTTGAAATAATTTCCTAGCTTTTATAAAAAATAATTTTTCTACCCTCACTGAAAATTGAAGAAAACTCAAATATTGAGCACCTTCTATATATCAATACAAGGCAGTATAATCAGTATTAATATGCATTAACTCATTTAATTCTTATAACTACCAGGGTAGGTATAATATTGTCCCATTTTACACATGAGAAAATTGAGATGTTGAAAATGTGTTACTTAGCCAAAGTCACAGAGCTGATACGTCATGGAGTCAGAATTCTAACCTAGGTCTATGACTTCCCCGGAGAAGAAATAAATGATTATTGCTATGTCAATGCATTGCAGCCAGAGTTTTCTAGTAACATACCTGAAATTAAAATTTGGGTTTACCATTTTGTTGCAGTAAGGAAGAATTCACACCATGGGCAATCATAGGACATCTCAGTAAGAGGGTGTTAGAAAGAATTTATTAAAGGTTTAGGCTTTGGTTAGATAATTTGGAGAAATTTCTAAGGAAGTAGGGCTTTATTCCAGATTGAATATTGTTGAAGACCAGGAGTAGTTCTATGATTGGGTATCTCAATTAATCTTATCTATAGGGAGGGCAGACTGGAGTCAGGACAAAGCTGTAATGGTAAGGAAGCAACCATCATTCATACTGGCCAGCAGAAGGGGATATGTGGTATTTTGTGGGTGGCACAAGGATTTTGCTTATGTCTGTGTTTAGACAAAATTATGAAGTGGCCTTGTCTTGTCTGAATGACATTGTCTGATGTTGGTGTTCTGTGAGATTATTTATGTCCAACGGAAGAATATGCATGGTTCAGCTGTAAGTGCCAGGCCAGCTTCAAACAACAGCAAGGCCTGACTGTAAGTTTAGACCAGTTCCTGGTTGTCAGAGGCTGCTATTTGTTTTTCAACAAGAACCATGATATCATGGCACAGCAGTAGTAGTCGCTGAGCTGCACAATTATGACACCAAGGGTTCTTATGCGCTCTTTCCATTGGCCAGAATGGTTTTTAGGCTTTAGGTCAATCTACAGGCACAGATAATGCCAATTTCTATGTCTCAAAGGGCATGGTTTCTGAGAAAGGGATGAGACAGAGTGAGGGCAAGAGTGAAATTAAGAACAGAAGAGAAAGGAGAGAGAGATCAAGATGGAAGCTGCAGTCTGCCAAAAGTACATTCTGTCCTATTTGCCATAATCTATTCATTAGAAATATGTCACCAAGTTCAGCCCACATTTCAAAGGGAGGGAAATAAAGCTCCGTCACCTGAAAGAAGGAGTATAAAGAATTTGAGGACATGAATTTTAAGCCACCAAATCTATATATATATATATAGATTTTTAGTCATTTTTATACTATGTTTTAAGACATATACTGTGTTCTTTTATACTATCGAGACAAAACACATCTTACACATTTTACCCTAATGACGTTTACATAAATGTGCTGGTGTGTTCATGAGAGAGAGAGAGAAAGAGAGAGAGAGAACTAATTCCCATTTAAATAGTGCAGGAGAAAGAAAATACAATGCATGCTACTTAATTAGATTCGGGTTTGAATTAGCCAGTGATAAAATATATTTTAAGGAATACTGTAGAACATTTGTATATGGGCTGGCTATTAGATGTTGTTAAGAAGTTAGAAATTATATTAGGTGGGGAAAATGATACTGGGCCGTGAAAGAAAATGTCTTCTTTGAAAGATGTAGTGACCGACATTATTTGGGTGAAATATAATATCTGTAATTTATTTTCCAATTTTAACCTCGCCTCGAAGGTGAAGCAAATATGCCAAAATGAACATTTGTCAAAAGTTAGTTAAGGTTATACGGATGCTTGGGTTATATTTTTGTACTCTTTTGTGACTAAAATTTTATAATAGCATGTCAAAAAAAGAAAACCAAGCAAACAAAAAATTAGCACAGGTGAGTCTGCCTCCACTCAGAGTGCACAGATCAAGGAGTGAGGAAGGGCAAGAGCATGAGCTTCCGGTAGGGTGAGCATCTCGCCATGTTGAAAGAAACTCTATTACAAAATGATATTTTATACCTGTGTGTTCATTTGTATACACAAAATTGTTTATATTTTACTTCATGGGCTTATATATTTCATGGGTTTATATTTTACTTTTAGGGATTTTGAAACTATTTTGACAGCGTCTAAATCTTGCCTGTTATGATGCTCTCAGGACTGAAATTGAAGTGACTTTTGACAAGGACTTTTATGACTGCCACTCAAAGCTGGCCTTCTTTTTTGTCTGTATATTCCAGGCAATGGCAACACAGGATTCTCTCTGGGTCTCATTCTGCC